TGGGGTACATGTTAAGAACATGCAGGATTGTTGCATAGGTACATACATGGCAATGTGGTTTGCTGCCTCCATCTCCATCACCCATAATTGGCATTTCTCCCCATGTTATCCCTTCCCAACTCCCTACCCCTCACTGTCCCTCCCCTAGTCCCCCCAACAGACCTCAATGTACAATGCTCCCCTCCCTGTGTCCATGTGTTCTCATTGTTCAACACCCGCCTATGAGTGAGAACATGTGGTGTTTGATTTACTGTTCTTGTGTCAGTTTGCTGAGAATGATAGTTTCCAGGTTCATCCAGTTTGTCCCTACAAAGGATACAAACTCATCGCTTTTTATGGCTGCATAGTATTCTATGGTGTATATGTGCCACATTTTCCCTGTCCAGTCTATCATCGATGGGCATTGGGTTGGTTCCAGGTCTTCGCTATTGAAAAGAGTGCTGCAACGAACATTCGTGTCCATGTGTCCTTATAGTAGAACGAATCATAATCCTTTGGCTATATACCCAGTAATGGGATTGCTGGGTCAAATGGAATTTCTATTTCTAGGTCCTTGAGGAGTCACCACACTGTCTTCCACAATGGTTGAACTAATTTACACTCCCACCAACAGTGTAAAAGTGTTCCTATTTCTCCACATCCTCTCCAGTATCTGTTGTCTCCAGATTTTTTAATGATCGCCATTCTAACTGGTGTGTGATGGTATCTCAATGTGGTTTTGATTTGCATTTCTCTAATGACCAGTGATGATAAGCATTTTTTTGTATGTTTTTTTGGCCTCATATATGTCTTCTTTTAAAAAGTGTCAGTTCAAATCCTTTAGCCACTTTTGAATGGGTTTGTTTGTTTTTTTCTTGTAAATCTGTTTTAGTTCTTTGTAGATTTTGGATATAAGTCCTTTGTCAGATGCGTAGCTTGCAAAAATTTTTTCCCATTCTGTTGGTTGCCGGCTCACTGTAATGATTGTTTCTTTTGCCGTGCAGAAGCTCTGGAGTTTAATTAGATCCCATTTGTCTATTTTGGCTTTTGTTGCTAATGCTTTCCGTGTTTTAGTCATGAAGTCCTTGCCTATGCCTATGTCCTGAATGGTTTTGCCTAGGTTTTCTTCTAACATTTTTATGGTGTTAGGTCTTATATTTAAGTCTTTAATCCATCCGGAGTTAATTTTAGTGTAAGGTGTCAGGAAGGGGTCTAGTTTCTGCTTTCTGCACATGGCTAGCCAGTTTTCCCAACACCACGTATTAAACAGGGACTCCTTTCCCCATTGCTTGTTATTTTTGTTTGGTTTGTCAAAGATCAGATGGTAGTAGATATGTGGCGTTGCCTCTGAGACCTCTGTTCTGTTCCACTGGTCTATATCTCTGTGTTGGTACCAGTACCATGCTGTTTTGATTACTGTAGCCTTGTAGTATAGTTTGAAGAAAAATATAGAACACTTCATGAATTTGCGTATCATCCTTGCACAGGGGCCATGATAATCTTCATTGTATCATTCCAATTTTAGTATACGTGCTGCTAAAGTCAGCACGGGAGGAATGTTCTTGAACGCTGAGGAGGCTTGGGAGGATGGTCTTTTCTTAGCAGTGAGGAGTTTAGGATTCAAATACACATAGGAAAGGATTCAGGAAAGGGCATTTCAGGCAGTAATACTAGGGTAAAGGAGTGAGGTCTGGAATTTTCGGAAGATAAGAGAGAGAGAATGAAAAGCGAGGAGTCAGAAAATGCAGTAGAAAGAGGTCAGGAGATGTGGGGAATGCGGATGGTCAAATTGGTTTGTAAAACTAAATTGTTGATTATGTATTGCATGGCATTATGTGCTGCTGATACAAAATATGACACAGACTATGTACCCAAGAAAGGAGCCTGGTATTCCAGATTGTAAGGGTGACAGCAGAAGGGCATTTCACATGCCATTAGCACAGAGGAAGGAGTATGCCTGAGTATTCACTTAGGCTTCCAGAGGCCTCACAGTGAAGGCCTGGGCTCTCCAAGGATTTATTCATTCTCTTTCACTTGTTTGCTAACTAGCTTATTCACTCATTTAACATATATTCTTGAGCACCTGTTTATTTGCTTGGTGTTGATCTGGGTGCTAGAAACAGGGCAAACATAGCCTTGGGTATAAGGTCAACAGGAGATCTCCCAGTGTTGATAGAGAGAAATCCTGTTCCAGGCAGAGAGAATGACATGACAGAAAACAAAACAAAGCCAAATCATGCAGCACTTAAAAGCAAGCATGGGCTTTCCACCGTAGCTCAACAGGAAAGGGATGAATGGTTTGTGGTCCAAGAGTCACCTGGGGGTTGATGCTGTCATCATGTGGCAGACATGTGAAGGACATGGAAGATACTGAACAGGAGAGGAGCATGGCCAGATATATAGTTTAGTACAAGACCACTGGTGGCAGGTGGAATGGAGTGGACTGAGTGAGCCCTCTTAGAGAAATACCGAAGAAGAGAGCGAAGAGCTCCTCACGGAGACAAAGGAACAGTTGGAGCCAGGTAGTGAGATGAAAAGATGTTTTTTGAGGCAGGGTACGCCCCGTAGTGAGTCAGGGGTCAAGGAGGAAGCACCAGCTACTTGTCAGAGGGTGGAGAGGGGCAATGAGACCCTAAGTGCAGGAAGAGGGGTCTGAGGGTGAGGAGGAGGCAAACGTTTCCTTCACAATGGCAGGGACAATAATTGTGGAGGAAAGACAGATGGTCCATTTCTGCCAGGTGCCAACCCCAGCAATTCCCCTCTGCAGGGACTCACCCTAGCCCTCTGGGAATAAGGAGTGGGTTTATTGGCATCAGTTCCATGCTTTTGTAGTGGGAAAACTATGATATCTGAGGATGAGTCAACCAGTCCAACCAAGACTGGTTGAAAACAACTTTGATGGAGAAGGCTGGGAAAAAACAAAAATCAAATCCCTAAGAAATCCATGTGTCAAAACAAAACCAACACATCTTGATTCATTGCAGTTCTTGCGAAGTCTCTTCTATCCAGCTAATGTCTTCCCATGCCAGGGGAAGCAGCATGAGGAAAAGTCAACTCAACAAATTTTGCAAAGTCTCTGCTCTTATTTAATTTCTTTTCCTCTCAGATTTTCCCATACCCCATTCTGAAGAACACAGGCAGAAATCCCCACCTCCTCCAGCAAATTCTTTTCTATCAAGGGATTCCTGTTGCTTCTTTTTCATATCACCTTTTACCTGCCTCCCCATGACACTTATTCAATTGAAGTCCCACCATCATCATCATCATCATTGTTTTTACATGGAGGCAGAACTATTTATTTCCTTTTAGTTGTTTCATCATCTAGTATAGTGTCTGGCTTGCAACTCAACAAATGAATGTTTGCTGAACCAACTAAATTGTCAGGGGGCAGGTAATATGTGTTCTAGAATCTTGTCTTACCTGACTTTGCAAAGGAGACTCATGAAGACCAGGAGACAAGAGGGTTTTAAGCAAAAACACTCTTGTGAACTCCTTATATCTGCACTGCCCACTCTGCATGCTTAAAAATAATTTGTTTTAGATGAAGCTGCATGTGGTCTCTTGCGATGGCTCATAAAATCCAGTTGGCAGAAACAGCTGGGCTAGTTGCCTGAGAATCTCTAGAGACTGTAATTCAGTAGTTTCGGGGTGGGCCACCAGAATGAAGACAAAAAAATATATACCTTTCTCTTTTCTCTTTCCTTCTCTGTCTCTTATCCATCTATCCATCCATCCATCCATCCGTCTGCCTGTCTGTCCATCTGTCCATCCCTCCACCCATCCATCTATCCACCTATCCAAAAGTTTAGCCAAGACTGTTGAGAGGGAAAAGTAGTAGAACTGGAGTTTGGAGACTTGGCTTAGTAACTTATTTTGCTAAGCTTCAGAGAACCTATCTTGAAAATGGCAACACTTATCTAACTCCCAGGGCTAATTAGGAATTACAATTAAGTAATATTTCTAAACATGAGATACACACGGTGGTTTCTCGGTAAATGTTAGTTGATTCTGAATATCCTGACAATAGAAAGTGCAGGAAGACTGAGGTTTCTGGTCTAGTTCATAACTAGGAGGGAAAAATAAAGGATTTGGAAGTAGAAAGAATATAATGATTTATTTTTAAATTTGTCAGTGTAGAAAGAGGCACAAGCCAGGGAGTCCATTTCCCAGAGGCCTGAGGAAATCCTTTGGCAGTTGTCAATCCAACCCAGAAGGCAATAGAATTAACTTACAGAGAAGACAAGAGCAGAGACATCCATAGATCACAGTATGAGAACCTTTCTTTTCTTGGGGAATAAGAGGGAGACCACTCCTGTAGACGCTGCCAAAGGGCACATCCAAGGTAGGGGTAGGGTAGGAGGCTGAAGGGCCAACTGGGGTGGCTTGGTGAGAAACAGTTAATTAGACTTCTGGGTCCAGAAAGCAGTCCTACCCTGGCTGTGCCCCCATATGGAGTTGCAAGGCTGGGTGTGATTATATGCTTTGCAAGGAACACATATTTTGTAAGATTAAGGCAAAATTGTTAAAAACATTTATTGTGTGCTTTTAATGTGCAAACATGAAGGGAACCTGGAACTTATTAATCTGGGTTGGGTGTCCCCTCTTGGCCCCTGGAGCTCTTTTGGCCATAGCTCTAACTTCATTGGATAGAAATAATTTGAGATTTTCTTTTCTGTTATCCCGTTTTTTTCCCCCAGCACTTACCACTGTGCATAATAGCACATAGAAGACACTAAAGATATTGAAGCAAAGCGGTGTCGACAGAATTGAACTGTGCCTATTGGCCAAAACTTTTAAATCAAGCTTGTGCATCCTGATGGTACAGCTTTAGTTTGTTAGGAGTTATTTTATGCTCCAGATTCAACGGGAACAGTATCCTGAAGTCTTAACTGTTTTGGAAAGATTGGTTAAAAAAAAAAAGGCAAACAATTTAACTGTTGATTATAAGGAAATATATAGTACTATTAAAATGAACTTCCGTATATTATAGAGTAGGGTGTTAAATTTGCATGAATTTTAAGATAAAGTACACAAAGTCAAAGTCCTTCCCTTTCTTCTGTGCCTGCCTCGAATCACCCGATTTGAGGCATCTCCTGGAATACATTGACAGTCATGCATAGTGAGGGACATAAAGGCAAGAACTGTGTTTTGTTCCGTGTTGAATCTCTTGCATGAAGAGCACAGTGCCTGGCACATAGAAAATGCTCAATAAGAGAGTGGGTTCTGAATTATTCTCTATATGCTTCTCTTTTTTGTTCAAATAGAGCGTCAACTCCTGGAGGGCGTGTCCCAGGTACATTTAGGTCTCTGATTCCTGGTGCAGAATAAATTCTTGCTACATCTTTGTCTTGTGCTGTAGTCTCACTGGGCCCAGCACAGTATTCTGCAAATACCAGGCACTTTATGCAGTTTTATCAATGATACTGACTTTGATGTTATGAGTATCTGTGGGAAAATCCTTTCTCTGCTATTTAGCACTTGGAATGCCTACTTACTGAACATTCCTTAGCCCGAGTTTTCTGGTCTATAAAATGAGGATAACAATTTCTACTTCACAGAATGGATGCCCAGAACCCACGATATCTTTTATATGAGAAATCTGACACAACGCATCTTCAACAAATACCAATCCTCCTTTCCCCCTTGTTTCAGTCTCATTTCTAGACAATTACTTCTATGGCTTTAGGATGAGATTTGAAGGACCTAAGTTTTGAGGCTAGTTTTCAGCTTTGACTCTGGTTCTGCAGAATAAGGTTCTTGATTTTTCTGATTCTGAGGAAATCTTTTACAGCCTTTGAGACTTAATGTTTCTATCAGCAAAATGGGTATAATACTCGCAACTACTCTCTACTGATGTTCTGGGAAGAAGAATGAGATAATGTCTGGAAGGAGCCTTGAGCTTCAGAGATGAAAGTTACCATATAAATTCAAAGACCAGAATGTCTATGCTATTATTCTTCAATGGCTTGTTGGATTCTTTTAGAGCAGGAGGCTGTTTGACCGACAAAGTCATCAGCTCTGTCTGCTTCCTAAAAACTCTTTCAAATAGTTTGTAAACACCTCTGAGTGGTAATGCTTTGCTTTTGCCACCCCCGGTTCTCCTCTGCCTCATTTGTTTGCTCTGAGGTTAAAGATAATTGCTTTTGAGGTGGGAGGAAAGGTGAAACAATCCCAGGGATAATTGCCCCAAGGTCAGCAAATCTGTGTTCAAGTCCTGACTCAGACTGTCACTAACGTTGGGCAAATCACTGACCCTCGCAGGGTCTGAGCTAGAAGCATCAAGATTGGACCAAACAATCTCCAAGCTTCTTCAACCAGCCTTGAGGATGTGGACCAGATGCCTGACAGAAGAGCATATTCCATGTAGAAGCAGAACCAAAAATGGTGGCTGAGTAAAACGGGAGGAAATAATCTCTTCACTGAAAAGGAGGGTGTTGGTGAGCACGGTTGAATGGAGGTGGAAGATACCATGAGCAATAAGAGTAAGCAGGGCCCTGAAATCCAGGCAGAGAAGGCAAGTCTTGGTGCCACATATCAACTTTCTTTCTA